GCCAGCAGCGGAGCGCGCACACTTAACCGCTAAGCCACGGGGCCAGCCCTCCTTTCAGCAATAAAATTTTGTACTTATCAAAGTTTTTTCCAGAGCAATATATTATTTTTAATTTTTCCCTTTTTTTTTGGTGAGGAAGATTGCATAAACTCAATGGCTTATGCATTCATAGGGGAGGAGACCACATCAGAACGTCCATCTGAAATCACAACCTTTTTCCTTTTTTAAGAACAAGGGCTAATTATAAATTTGAAGGATATGATTCACGTGCTTAATATATTTTGCCTGTATAGGTGATGCCATTTTGTACAGGAAGACTGAAGTTAAATAATTTTAGGCCATTCCTCAAGGAGTTTCAAGTTGTAGCTTATGCAGAGATCTAAAACAGGGGGCAAATAATCGATCCAATGAAAGGCCAGAGGGATAAGGTTCAATACTAAAGGTGGAGGGAAAGAAATAGAAGACATGACCTAAAAAGAATACGAATAGAGCATCTTTTGATTTGGTGTGTCTACAGTGCCACATAGTTTTCTCCAAGGATAGGAAATCTGCTTAAGGATGCCTGAGCTTTAGGCCTCTGAAAAACTATAGTTAACTAGACTATATAGGAGCCTGTTTCATCATTAGTTTCCTTTGAAGATAACATATGTTACAAAGCCAATCAGGCAAATTGTAATCATTTACATTCCCTTCGATCTTTAAGGGGCATGAAGTTACTACAAGAAGAACATTCTAAAATAGCTGTAGCCATCAGGAACAAATTAGAGTGAGAGGTGGAAGTTTTTTCGTGTTCATTTCCCAGATGCATTTCTAAAAATGGGATGAAGAATTTAATTAGCCTACAAGATGAAATGCTCAGGAATGCCAAACAAATTAAAGATACCAAATTTCTTAGCCTTAATTGCTTGTAATTGGTGTCTGACTTAAAGACAGACGTTTCACAGAGAAAATGTTATGAATTCTACTTTGGAAAATTGTAGTCAAGTTATGGTCACACTTCTAAAGCCTATGTGGGGTCAAATTCTTTGGGGTTCTCTTCTACATATGCGGCATACTCTCCCATCTCTGAGTCTCTGCCTGGAACACATTCCCTGTATACTTCCTCTTCTCCAGCCTCAACCCTCTCAATCTCCCTCTCTTTTTCCCCTAGTTAACTCTTATTCTTTTACCTCTGCTTAAGCCTACCTCCTCAGGGAGGCCTCCCCTGAGCCCCTGGTTATAAGAGCCCATACCCCATATATTTCCACTTTTGTAATCCTCACAATGCACCCTAGCTACTAGTTTAATGTCCATTTTCCTCACTAGACTGTAAGTTCCATCCAGGCAGAACCTTGTTCTCTTTATATCTAGTAAGTACCGTTCAAACATTACCTGAAGTGACTTGACTCTCCCAGGAATAAACATTACTTAAACATCTGTTTTTCATACTCTGATGTATGAAACACACATACACATCCCCAGCTGTCCCATTCTCTTCTCTTTTTTGGGTCACATCTTTTTGAATTAGCTTAATTGCAGCAATGGCTTCTGGTCAGACTGTGAGTGCATTGGCCCAGACAGCCTCTTCCCTCACTGGAATCGCGAATTCTTCTCCAGGCTGTTCTGTGTTGGAAATCCTACTAAAGAGACTCGGGCTCAGCCTGACTGTACAAATGATGCCGCACTGACAACAGAGAATTATTTGTTTCTTAAAAAATAAGTAATGCTTCCTCCTACTCATCTGCTCACGGGAAAGGCTGCATGATATGCATTAATGTTATTAGAAACACGTTGTCTTCTGGGATTGCATAAGCCTGTCGTGGGAAAATTGGTGGCCAATGGAAGAAAAGTGTTAGGGTTTGGTTTGCTATCATTAGGGGAGAAAAAAGGATTCAGGAGGCTGTAAGACCTTATATGTTGCTGGGTTTAGCTTCTCTGGAGATTCATGTGAGGCTCATCAACGAGACTCAGCCACTTGTCCATACCTTCAAGTCACTGGACTTGGGATCAAGGAGAGGAGTTAACGATCTATGACTGGGAGAAGGTGCTTAGGCACTGCAGCTGGATGCTCACAAGGAAGGAACATTCAGTGGGTAGTTCTGTTTTTCCTGATTTTTGCCTCTGGCCATGCCTGTTTCGAATTCTTTGAGACTATTCCAAACACCTGTTCCTTTACCAGAGAGCTTGCTCCCTCTGTTGGTAAAAGTGAAATACAACAGGCTTGTTTTTAAACTGTAGTGGTGACGGGAAAATGGTTGGTGATTTTAGCCCAAATTATGGAAGTGACCTGTTTGCAAATATATGTACACCAATCCTTAAGTTTAAGTCTCCAGCACCCTTGGCTGGTAAGCATAAATTTACAACTGGAAATTTTCCCTCAATCATAGCATGTTATAGATACTTTCAAATTTTGGTGTGCAAAAGAGAAATTTGATTTCAAATCAAATTTGAAATTTGACCAGAGAAATTTGATTAAAACTCAAGTTCCCAGCCTCAGCTCCAGAGATTCTAGTTCAGCAGGCTTTGGATACGGCCCAGGAATCAGCCTATTAAAGTGAACCCCCGATGAGATTGACCTGTTCTTTGAGAAATGCTGGCCTAATGTCTAAGAGTATGTGCTTGGAACCACCTCTGCCAGTCGTATGGCATTGGGCATATTCCTTAACCACTCATTGCCTCGGCTGGTCCGTCTGTAAAAAGGCAGTAGGAATGCCGACTCCATAGGGCTGTTGTAGGATAAAATGAGATCCTAATATAAAGAGCTTGGGACAGGATCTGGTCATGACAGGCACCCAGCACATGCCAACTCTTATTATTTGTAGTGTTAATCCTAATTAGCTGCAAGCTGCAGGGCCAGAAAAGACCAGGGGAAGCTTGGATTTCCTGGACCAAACAGGCATTACATCCTGGGCCCCGAGGTCTCTACAGTGAAATGCAGCCATGGACAGAGACCCCTCACTCCCCAGGACAAGCAGTGGCTGCTGACCTCACTCAGACGTTTACACACAGGAGGACAAGCAGTGCCCACCTGGGGAGCTGCCGAGGATGCTAAACAGCCTGGGCAGAAAAGTGCTTTGACACTAAGACCCTTAAAGGCAGGGAAAGTGTTTTTATACGTCTTTGTACCTCCCAGGCTAGATGGGTAAAAGAGAAGTTGAGGTTGGCAGCTCCCCTGTATAATGGTATTAAGGGAACAACTTCTGTTTCTTCATCTATAAAATGGGCGTGATAATAATATTTTCCCCACATAGTTCTGAAGAACAAATAAGAGAGGGTATGTGTAAAACCCTTAGTATGATGATTGACACCAGTGGTCCTTGGAAAGTATTGTTATCTTTCCCATCCCTTCAGGTGTGAATATATCTGTAGGATTCTTTTCAGAGACAGATATTGATCAGGAGAAAGGAAACAGATGATCCAGATGTGTAGTGAGATTTTAGAGCAGTGTTTCTTCATGTTTTTTAAAAATCTGTTTTCCCTGATAAACTTAAAAGTCATACTTCCTTTAATATATATTTATTAAGTTTAAAATGTGTTATATATATAAAAAGTCATATATATGTGTATGTATAATATACGTATGTATGTATGTGTGTACAGGCTACCAGTACTGAGATTATGAGGGCAAAGTAATATAAAGACTGGCAAGTTATGAAGTCCTATCCCAGTGTGGATTATCCTAGCAATACACTTTAATCCAAGTTTACATTTATCTCCTGTGTATTTTCAAATTCCCACTGGCAGCATTTAATTGAACGTCCCGTGATTCTAGCCCTTCCTGGGAAACATATACATCCTAGTGTGGCATGTCCTCAGCTGCACCACTAGAGGGAGCCACTCTGTAACAGGTGAGGTCAACCTAACAGAAATACCTGATCATCTGGTGCTGATCAGAGACCAAGGCTATAGGTTACCAGTAACATATTTCAGATTTATTAAAAAACACATAGGTAACGAGTCAGAGCTTTGGCCAGGAAAGATTTGGAAAAGAACTGAAGGCATTATTCCACAAAACATTCACAGTTGCGTGCTAGAGACAGAGAGCGGGGTAGTGTTTTAGAAGCATTTGCGGTGGACAATGGAGGGCCCAGCTTCGTCGTACTCCTGTTTGCTGATCCACATCTGCTGGAAGGTGGACAGAGAGGCCAGGATGGAGCCGCCAATCCAGACAGAGTATTTGCGCTCCGGAGGGGCAATGATCTGTCGGTCAGGATGAGAAAGAAGGGCCGTTAGTGCACTAGGACAGCCCCTGGGCATTCTAGCGTGGTCCAGACTTGGTGACCTGGCTGAAGTTTCATGGGCAGCGGGGTCAGTCTTGGCTGTTAGATGCCTAATCCTAACCCAACCCCTAACCCTAACCCAAGGGGGTGTGACGAGGTTGTGGATTTAGAGATTCTTCAATGAGTGCATTTGTTTTTCTGGCTGCCTTTCCACCCTCTATTCCAAAGCATCTGTAACACCTCTACTGTGTTCAGTCGACTACAGGGCAAACTGAAAGTTGACCCCAAATCCTACATGACTTTTGCTTAAGAGCCCCAAAATAGCTATAGTTGAACAATTTCACATTCCACTCCAGAATTGGGTACTGTGTAGAAATGAATACAAACACTTCAGCCAACAGACAAGGTGTTTCTGAAACGATGGTGAAAGGGTTTAATTTCTGTTTACCCCCCAAGCTCTGGTTTAACATTTATTTTTAAAACAAGTAGCTGCCATTTACTGAGCACCTACTATGTGCCAGGCACTGTGCTGAGCATTTTACGTGTATTATCTCATTTAACTCTTATAACCACTTGGAAGAGTAAGTATTAAATTACTCCCATGTTTCATATGAGAAAATAGAGACTGAGAGAGGTTTAAGTAACAGGCGTAGGTCACACTGGTTGTGTACATGTCAGACCCGAAATTCAAACCAGGACCTCTCCCAGGCATTTTTTTGTTTCATTTTGTTTTGTTTTAGAAGTGACCTTTTTATTTTGGGATAATTTTGGATTTACAGAAAAGTTGCAAAGATAGTGTAGAGTTCCTGTAGACCCCTCATCCACTTTCAGTTTCCCCTAATGTCATCATCTTACGGTCCCAGGTTCTTAACGGTTTTCTCTCACCACAATGGAGCCCAAAGTTCCACATTCATTTCTTTTTTTTTTTTTTTTGTGAGGAAGATCAGCCCTGAGCTAACATCCGTGCTAATCCTCCTCTTTTTTGCTGAGGAAGACCAGCTCTGAGCTAACATCCACTGCCTAATCCTCCTCCTTTTTTCCCCCAAAGCCCCCCAGTAGATAGTTGTACGTCATAGTTGCACACCCTTCTAGTTGCTGTATGTGGGAGGTGGCCTCAGCATGGCCGGAGAAGCGGTGCGTCTGTGCACGCCCGGGATCCGAACCAGGGCCGCCAGGAGCCGAGCGCACGCACTTAACCGCCAAGCCATGGGGCCGGCCCTCCACATTCATTTCTAATCAAGAGGCCTAGTCTGGGAACTAGGAACTACCCAGTTTGAGCTACAGCCTCTCTCTGTAATAAACCCCCCACCCAGGCTGGCTTTGTCAGGGAACCCAGCAGCTGGTTTCATCTCTCTCCCTCCGGTGTGGGAGGAAGAGGGGGTAAGAGTTGATCAGAGGGGCACCCGAGAAACACAGATCCTCAGAACCAGTCTCTCTCCTCTCACCTGCAGCCTGTTAGTGCCTATGATGCAGAAAGAGAGCGTGCTTCAGTCTCGCACTCTTTTATGTTGTTGCACACCACTTCCAAAAAAAGAGAAGGGAGTGCAAATAACAGAGAACTTGTTTGAACTCTTCTCCTGTGTGTGATCTGCACCCAGAGTGCCCCTTCTCCAGCTCCCTTTGACATGGGTCAGAGGGCACCGGCATGGCCTTCTGATTTCAGAGTGATAATAGCCTTTGGGAAGTCGCCAGCCACATGTAAGCTTGCCTCCAAAGAATGATTTCCCTTTAATCTCTGAGTTCCTTTGACGGGGACTCAAAATTCACACAATAGATGGGTCTTGGATGGCTCAGAGACTGAGCCTGGTCGTCTTGGAGTCATTCTGTTCTTTTAAGCACCTATATCAAAAGGTATGCCGGACAGAGAGGTGAAGATAAAATTCTAATTCCTGGCCACCGAGATGTGGTCACATTTAGTAGCGGAACAAGAGTCTATGCTATTGAGTCTACTGGGTTTAAACCTCTTCAGAAGTATGTCTGGCTCGTCTGATTTTTTTTTAATGTTCTATACTCTATATAATATTCTATATTATGCTACCTATACTAGACACAGTATTTTTGTGATGAGGAAAAATAACAAAATGTATGTTTTAAAGAGATAGATGAATGATGAATGTTGACTAGACTTATTGTGGTGATCATTTGGAAATATATACAAATATTGGATTGTTATGTTGTACACCTGAAACTAAAATAATATGTCAATTATACCTCAATAAAAACAATAAAAAGATATGCACACATGGGGAGCTCTGTTGACCTTTACTGTAGCTGCTCTAAGTAGCTGATAGACAGGGATAAGTATAGATTAAATTTTTTACAAAAATAATTCAACTTCTCTTATGAACTGGGTTGACATAGCCTATAAAGTATGCAACCGTGGACTTGTACCTACTGCCTAGCCGTAGAACCCATGAGCACATGTGACTAAGATGTGGCCTCTGAAGAGTCCTTCACACCAACCCTGGTGGTAGGGTTGGCACTGCCGGCAGCCTAGCCATGGAGTCTGCCACTGAACCATACCTTGATCTTCATGGTGCTGGGTGCTAGGGCAGTGATCTCCTTCTGCATGCGGTCGGCAATGCCGGGGTACATGGTGGTGCCCCCAGAGAGAACGTTGTTAGCATAGAGGTCCTTCCTGATGTCAATATCGCACTTCATGATGCTGTTGTAGGTGGTTTCATGGATGCCAGCAGATTCCATCCCTGGAAAACAGACACAGGCCATGGTCCTTGGGCAATGCGTAAAACCCAGGTTAGACATGGAAGACCTACGTGAGCAACTGGAAGACCTTACACTGGACTGAAGCTAGGCAGGCATAATAATCTAGGAACCATCCATCTGAAAACCCAAAAGGTCCTTGTGATGCTTGTAAAGGTCCATGTCCTCCCACTTCTTGTCTAGTGAGGAAGCCCTGCTGCAACATCTCCAGGAGGGTGGGGGGCTACAACATCACATCACTTATTTTTAATAGACTCACTACTGTGTATGGTTCAAATAAGGGGTAAAGCCTTCAGACTCCCTACAGAATGTCCAAAGCTGAGCCAATGTCGTAGCCAATGCTCAGAACTCTCCCAAGTCTCCCTTTGGCTGCTGCCCTGTTCTCACCCCTCAGAGCTAAATGGTGCTGAGTCATCAGAAAAGTGCTTCATCCCATTTGGACCAAGGTCATTTTTCTTCAATGTTGCTAATATATTTTTTTGTCTGAACTTTTTGTTAATTTCTGAAGTGGGTCTTTTGATAAGAACTTCTAGGTGGTCCTTCATCTTTTGCAGTGCTGTTATATAAGAATAATAGTAATAATAATAATACCTAATTATAAATTACTAACAATATCTGATAATTATTCAGTGCTCATTTTGCTCCGCGTATATCTCTGGTAATTCTCAGAGCCACCCTATGACATAGGTACTCTTACAATCTTCATTTTATAGATGAGGACACTGAGGCTTGGGGAGGTTAAGTGACTTTCCCAAGATTATGAAAGTAGCACTAATGCTCAAACCCAGGCTCACCCCTCCCAGAGCCTACCCTCTGTGAACAACTGTGCTAACCTCTCTCCCAAGGTCAATGCTAGTGTAGGAGCAGGCTCTTCCATTTCTCTCTCCCCCTACCATTCCCAAACTCTCAGCATTCAGCACATCCTTCCCATCCATCCGGTGGCTACACTGTGTCCTAAGCGTAGGCAATATCTGATCTTTCACCATGCACCATATGCCAAGAATGGTTTTGGCTTGACTACAACATAGATAGTGTTTTCTTATAAAGAAAACTCCTTTCCTGGCCTCCTTAAGTCTTCTCACCCTTTCCCTTGCCCTGGTTTAGAAATGCCTTTGGTCTTGTGGCCCCTGTCACATGTCCCCACATGCAGAAGGGTACTGGTAGCCACGGGCTGGCTGGACATGGGAGGATAGGGTGGTCTCCCCTTCCCAGGGATGGGACGTCAATGCCTACCAATGAAGGATGGCTGGAACAGGGTCTCTGGGCAGCGGAAGCGCTCATTCCCGATGGTGATCACTTGCCCATCGGGCAGCTCATAGCTCTTCTCCAGAGAGGAGGAGGACGCGGCAGTAGCCATCTCGTTTTCAAAGTCCAGAGCTACATAACACAGTTTCTCCTTGATGTCCCGGACAATCTCACGCTCAGCTGTCAAGACACACACATTAGGGTTTGCACAAGAAATAAAAATCCACCTGCCCTGCTCCAATCTCTCCCATAATACAAGTTCCTTCAAAGAAGTGTGTAAATTCATTATTTTGCGACTGCAAATCCATGATGGGAATTAAGTTATAGGTCCACTAGGGAACCACTCTGTTCCTAGCAGAGTGCCTCAAACATGGTAGACCCTTAGTAACCATTGTCTTGAAAATGCATGACAGGAATAAAATGAGCTAGCTAGAGAAAGGCACAGAGCAGGAAATCCTTCTGTACATTAAGTTTTTTTGCAGAATTAACTAATCATTCTCTATTATAATTGTTTATAACAGTTTGTTATATTGGATTTTCAGTTTATCAGGTTGTCTTATGCTGAAGCAGCCCCTTAGAGGGCCCCACAGTTTTCAAAAAACTCCAGAGATCCATGTTGCCTGGCCCAGGTAGATTCTAGCTCAAACTCTTGGCACATTTATCACCTTCCAGAGAAAGGCAGGCCCTGGCTCAGGACCAGTCCTACTCTAGAAGGCTCTAGTGGTGCATGAAAGAAGTGCACAGGCAGACACCTTTCAAACTCCTGCACTCTGAGGTTCTAAACTATTGGTTCCATTCGGGCCTCCGGGAACCTTTTGGAGTTGTCTTGGGATTCTTTGTAGGGAGCAGAGGAGGAACAGAATTAATTCAACTCCCTACTCCAAAAGGAGACTTTAACATCTTCAAGCCTCAAACTTGGAGGCTAGATTAAGCCTCAAGCACGTCCAGAAACCCAAACATTTGGACAATACCAAATTGACAAGGGGAGGGCAGGCAGCTAGGACCACCGGCACTGAGGATGCCACAACGTCTCTAGTAACATCTGACTCTGACTCTTGTGGATGGAGACCTGGTGGCCCCAGTTTAGAGTCTGAAGACACAGGTATCACTGCCTGAGGTGTTGGTGTTAGTAATAGCTAACAATTACTGCATGCTTACTCTGTGCCAGTTATTCCACGTGCATTATCTCATTTAATCAATCACATTAGAAAGGTTCTACAATCACCCTCATTTTACAGATGAAGAGACTATGGCTTAGCAAGGTTAGATAACTTGTCCAAGGTCATACAGCTAGCAAGTGACAGAATTGGGCTCCAAGCCCTGTCTAGATGCCTCCAAAGACTGCCCATCACCACACCATTCTATCTTCAGTTTCTGCACACTCTCTTCTTGTGAATGGAGAGGATTAAAAAAGGCTCAAATAATACAACTCTACTAGCTCATAATACTAGACAGTTATAATTTTTTTTTTTTTTTTTGTGAGGAGGACTAGCCCTGAGCTGACACCCGATGCCAATCCTCCCCTTTTATCTTGAGGAAGAGTGGCCCTGAGCTAACATCTGTGCCCATCTTCCTCTACTCTATATGGGACACCGCCACAGGATGGCTTACCAAGTGGTGCGTCAGTGCGCGCCTGGGATCCGAACCTGTGAACCCCAGACTGCCGAAGCTGAGCACTTAACCGCTTGTGCCACTGGGCCGGCCCCTATAAATGTTCTTCTTAAGGAAACATTATAATCATTTTGCAACTTCACATAGCAAAAAAAGCCATGCTTTGCTCTGGGCAATGCAGTCCAGGCCTTGCCATCTGCAAGGCTCCCTCCCATCGTTTCCTTGGATAGTCACTATGGTCCTGTAAACTACGGTTAAGAACATACTGTCCCCACACCCCTTTCCCTTTATTTCCACGGGTCTCACCGGTAGTCACAAAGGAATAGCCACGCTCAGTCAGAATCTTCATGAGGTAGTCGGTGAGATCTCGGCCAGCCAGGTCCAGACGCATGATGGCGTGGGGCAGGGCATAGCCCTCATAGATGGGCACGTTGTGGGTGACACCATCTCCAGAGTCCAGCACAATGCCTGGGGAACAATTGGACACAATAAATGTCACCCACGGCAGCCAGCATATTGTCACTTACTGGTCTAGTAGAAGGGGAATTTCTAAGCCTCTTATTTGAAAGAGAGGAAGGAAGGCATTTGATAGAATAGGGGAGGTGGGACAGGGTTTGGGAAAGATGAAAAAAGAAAGAACAGAAAGAGAGAAAAAATAGAAAAAATCTTACTAGAAATATGAACTTAAGAGCTTGTTTTTAAAGGTGAGAAGAAGACCTTCTGGGGCTGAGATTAGCCCTGTCAATTCTAACTAACCCCATCCATCACAACCCACATGTTTGTAAGCATCAATCTGGTAACTGATGGTGTATTCAATCGAAGCTCCTATTCATTCCAGCCACCTACCAGTTGTACGTCCAGAGGCGTAGAGGGACAGCACCGCCTGAATAGCCACATACATGGCTGGCACATTGAAAGTCTCAAACATAATCTGCAAAGCAATCCAAAGAGCTAAGTTAATGATCTGCCAGTTTTACCAAGAATGTTCAAGAGGGCATGCCTTGTGGATGAATGCAGATGGGCCCCCCTGGTTCTGGGCAGAGGAGACTAAGGTAAAGGAGGTACAGGACAGCCCTGGTCACTGGAAGAGGAGGAATGAAGGTGTGAATGGGGAAACCATCACACTGGCGACCTGATGGCATGGAGAAGCGAAGGGGCAGTGTGCACACATGACTGTGCAGGGGTGGGGGCGTCTAGCTTCTGGCTCTGGCCCTGACTCTGACTTGAATGCGACCTGGGAGAATTCACCAAACATAGCTGACTAACATGGGCTTCATTCCAGGGCTCTCAACTGTAAATGGAGGAGGAATTAGGACCAGATGAGCTCTGGGGCTCTTTCAGCGTGAACAGCCCAGGACTTACTAAAGATATCAAAGTCAAAAGAAAAAGAAAAGACCACATGCAGGTTTGGACTTCTCTGGTATAAAGAAGACCTGAAGCTTGGACTGATTGAGATTCACCCAGTTCTGTGATTTGCCTGAGGTTCCACTTAATCTTTTCCACTTTTTTATTTAGTTGCTGAGTCAATGCCAGCCGTAGAATCTGAGGCCACTCTGGCTACAGTGGAAGGGGCCCTGATTCCTGGAAGACAAGAACTGCCTGCTGGTAACAGAGGCCACGTATGAATACCAATGCCCCAGCTCATGCAGTCCAGGGACAAGATTAGAACCAGAGCCCCTGCAGGTCACTCAGGAGAAGTTTGTGCACACCGAGATGCCCACAGGCCTCCGTTTCTCTATCTGCAAAACTCTTCTAGTCTCTTCACCAGAACATCTGACATCATTTGCTAGAGAGTCCTAATTCCCAACTATTCTTCTACCTTCACAGCATTCACAAGAACAATAATGCCCATCTGACACAGCATACATGGAGTGATTCCCAGGCACAGATGTTCCCCTGTAGAGAATATGTGTTGGTGTAAGCACCAAGAGCTCTTCTGAGGTCAAGGCCCTGTAGTATTTACATTTATTCTTCTCCAAGGCCAAAAGATCCTGGCTCGGTTCCAGACTCTGCCACTCCTAGCTGTGTGACCTTGGGATAACACCTAATGTATTTGAGCCCCGATTTCTTCATTTATATAATCAGGATAATAATAGCTTCTGCCTCACATTGTTAAGATTCAAAGAGACAATGCATATAAAATGCTTAGCCCGGGGCTTAACCAGAGCAAGCATGAAATTGACATTAGATATTTTTATTGGATAGCTCATCCAAACTGGAAACCTTGCCTAGCTGGTAGAATGGATGGTCTCCTGCTACAGGTCTTTGAGCTTCAGACAAGTCACAATAATGACAATGATAAATATTATTTGTTGAATGTTTATTATACTAGGCGTCATGATATACATTTAACATTTTGCCTCATTAATCTTCACATCAATCCTTTGAAACATAATGGTACTAATATTATTCCCAACGTACAGACAAAGAAACTGAGGCTCTGAGAAATTAAGTAGATTCTGTAAGGTCACATAGCTAAGTGACAGATGCAGTTTTCAAACCTAGATCCGTCTGACTCCAGAACGAAAATTCCCCACTGTATGTTACCTATGTTTTGAAATGACTTCTCCTTAGAAGTTTTTAACCTAAACATGTTACCGTTTCAATTAAATCTTTAAAATTTCCTATTGCTCTTGGAGCCGAGGGGCAGTTTCTGCAGTAAGGATGTGAGTCCCATCAAGATCTTTGGAACCACTGAGTTCCTGGAAAGTTGTCAGTGTGTGAGTGGACTGCTGGGGGAGGCTGTCTCTCTGCTGTCCTGCATAGCCCCTTTCAAATAGGACTTTCCCAAACCCAAAAGTGCTGGGTCCTGGAATGGATATTTACCTGGGTCATTTTCTCCCTGTTGGCCTTGGGGTTCAGGGGTGCCTCGGTGAGCAGGGTTGGATGCTCTTCAGGGGCAACACGAAGCTCATTGTAGAAGGAGTGGTGCCAGATCTAGCGGGGAAACCGAGGAGAAACACAATGATGTGATGTCATGCAGGCACTGCAGACCCAGAAAAGGGACCAGAATGAGCTAAAGGAAACCAGGACTAAATAAAATGTTGCAACTACTCATTACGTGTCCACATTTTTACAGATGCCGAAACTGAAGCTCAGGTGAGTAACTTACCCAAGCATTCACATCTGCTGAGTGACTGAGCAAAAACCCAAATCTGGGTTTGTCAGGCAGGATGGTGTAGTGGTTAAAGACACAGCCTCTGGAGGCAAATCTGGGTTCAAATCGCAGCTCAACCACTTCTTGGTTGTGTGAGCTTCAGCAAATTTTAACCCTTCTAAGCTCCAGTCTCACCATCAGTAATATGAAAATAATTAGTATGTCTTTGAGAGAATTAAATGAGGTAATCCTAGAGTTACTATTTAGCTCAGTGCCTGGCTTGAGTACACGTTATTATTATTCACTATATCTTCTCTACTCCGTACTTCCATTTTAGTTAATATTCATGGGAAATGATTTAGTTTAATAAGTAAAAGACAAATGAGTGAACACATGAGTGGATGAATGAAGCTGACCTGAAAACCTAGTTGCCATTTTTAACACTTTTAAGGAAATCTCCCGCTGCAGTGTACGTTAAGAAGAGAACAGGTCTCCTTGCCTCTTGCCTCCATCCTCTCCATCCCCCACTTTTGCTCTCCAGGTCTGGGATGAGCCTGCCTCCGTTGGCACCCTCTGAACCTTCTATTCAGGGGCAGACATTTGGCTTTCAGGTGCTTCAAAAAAGCCAACCCCTATTTATAGCATATTTGTGTGAATATACTTTGGATGTGAGTGTGTTTACTTCATGATTGAGCATCCTCTTTCATCCCTGGATGCCAAAAAGAACAAACCACTGTAAAAAGTGCTAAATTAATTATTTTTAAAAGCATGCAAATTCTCCACTAGCACCAGGAATATTAGATTCATCCAGAATTAAAACAAAACAATATAAGAACTGCTGGTGAAAGTTTATAAATGAATAAAAGCAAGATGGACTTTAAAGACTCTTTATCTTGTTCCACTTGCTTTGGTTTTGAATTTGTGGTTTCTAGAGAAGAAATGAGACTCCTGAAAGTTCTATTCCTTTGATGGACTAAAAGTAGCAGAGTGATCAAGAAATCCTGCCAATCATGTTATATACTGTGGTTACTCTGAAACATCACTTAAAAAACAACCAGTCTCTCCCTCTGTCTCTCTCTCATCTCCCTCTCTCCAGAAGACACTTGGAATTAATTTTAGAAATGATGAAACGCTTTGTTCGTTCCAAGGTTCTTTCTCCAGGCACATGCATTCTGAGACGCTGCCAGCTCCATGGAGAAACTCTTAAAGAGTATTTTCCCACTGCTATTAATATCTTCTCCTCAGTGCAAACTGCAGTCTTACCAAATCCAGAATCTTAGACTAAGCAAAGCTAATGAAATATAATTTTTGTAGAGAAGCAGAGGTTGCATCATTATTACTGATAAATTCTAGCAAAACTATGCTCTTTTAAACCGGTAACAGTGTGTGGGGGTGTGCATGTATGTAGGGAGCTGATAGATAAATAAAAGTCCAGATGTTATGGTTCTAATATATTTCGTTGCATTTTTAAAATTTTATGTCATTTTCTCATTAGTCCTGCTTTTTCTCTGATCACTTGTGTTTCTATGATGCCTAATAACAAACACCAACATCTTAGGATTTAACTCTTCTCATTAGTTCTTTTGCATGACTTGGGGAGCTAAAGACTTCACTTAATGCAACAAAGACGTATACTTTTTTTAAACGTGTATTTTAAAACTTTTACCAGTTGCTTGTGCTTCAATATGTTGAGGGACATTCAGGAATGTACCAAATCCACAATGTCACAGCCCCCTTTTCTATAGTGAAACTAAGTGGGTTTTTTTTTCTTTTTTTTGAATATTCAGGATGAGTTAGTGAAAAGCTTTCAAGAATGGGTGGGCTAAGGGAACACCCAGCTCTTCCAGTCCTCTTTAGCCATAGAACCCTGAGAGGACAGCCATGCAGCCTCTCATGAGAACAAAAGGGGGGATTGTTCTCCTGGCTTCTGCTCATACAATGCTTGTCCTAAGAGGGTAATCCAGTTGACTGAGCAATAGGCTGTTCATTCCAACCACTGTTCTCATCTACAGAACTGTCTCCCTCTAATTGGTTTATAAACCAATTAGGGATTTGTTTTTTTAAAGAAACCTCCAGGATTTTTTTTTTTTTTCAGTTAGTGATAATCTAGAATAAACATTAGCTAGTAAAAGTACAACTGGGCAATGCTAGCCAGTTATTTTCCCCAGCAATAGCAAGATGTTTTGAATCAGGGGTCATAGGAAATACCCATAACAACCCTCAGGGAACCTCCTGGTACCTTTTCCATGTCGTCCCAGTTGGTGATGATGCCGTGTTCTATCGGGTACTTCAAGGTCAGGATTCCTCTTTTACTTTGTGCTTCGTCACCCACGTAGCTGTCTTTTTGTCCCATTCCCACCATCACCCCCTAAAAAGGTTCAACACATAATGAGTCAGCCTGTCACAGAACTCGTGAATTCATTTAATCCAATCATAAAGGGTTAAATCACTGAGCTAGGAAGTTCCTCTTTTGGTATCAGCAACAATATGCTGTCTCATGGTCACTATGCTCTTAGGCAACATCTCTCAGTTGATTGGAAACAGGCCTGAATCAGCCTACAAATAGCAGAGGACCCTGTGGGTAAGGCAACTTTACATTGTGTGTTTTATCTTCCTTCTTCCTTGATGAGCTCTGTTAGGGCAGAGATTGTATTTGTCTTGTTTGCCGCTATAACAAATTGCCTAGCATATATTTGGCACTCAATAATTATTTGTTGAATTAATATATGAAATTTTACATAATAGTTAAATGGCATTTTGCCTCTTATAAGTCCTTTAAACTGTACTTTTAAAGTTATCACCTACCCAAGAGTATACGAATATTATTTTCTAACCATTATAAGCAAAGCATTCTTTCTACAAATGACCACTCAGTACTTGATTTCTAATGGATAAACCCATACCAGTCAACATTAAGACATCTGCCTAAACTAGTCAGGTGTATTTTTTTAATCATTAAGGTTAAGCTTAAAAAAAAAAAAAGAAAGAGAATTCTCATTATTGGATTTTAAGTTGCACTGGGGTGACTATTTTAGAATTGCAAAACAGTTGTGGCTACTAATAGATCCATAAAATAGTGGCTTGTGCCAAATATTTCCATTGCATACAGCTCAACAAAGAGACAGAGTTCATTCACTGGAGGAGGCTTCTATTATTTGCTCTTGTGAGTATTTGCCAAACTGAGAGCCATATATCAATCAGATAGCCTCAATGTTCAAAATATGTTTCTGATGTAAAGGAGAATTTCATCTCTGAAATTTTTTTTACTATGTGGCTGCCACCAACATTTTGTTTATACATAACGTTATGTAAAATTACCACATGGCTGACCAGATGTATTTCGTTGACAGCTAACAGTACATAAAATTACATTTGTTAACAGAGCTACTTTCATTTAACATCAAGTTCTATGAGAGTGACTGACCTGGGCTCTTCATTTAGTTACTTTCCAAAGAATAGCTATGGTATACAGCAGGTTACTCATAAGCATTTCTGATAATGATGATGATGATGATAATAATAACTATATTTAGAAAAACAGAACTTATGAAAAAGGGGCAGACTTATATCTAATAGATACCCACCACATAATCTGTCTAGATCATGCATGAAATTGGCACTTAGTCCTAGACATTAATCATCAGAGATGTATTTTTAATAAGTTTACATAATTTCCAGGCAAAGAGCAACAGACAATCTGTGGATACCCAGGGACACACAGACATAGAGGGACCTAATCTATAGCCCTGTTTCTCTCTGTTCCAATCAGAATTTTGCTCACCTGATGTCTGGGACGTCCCACAATAGATGGGAAAACAGCCCTGGGAGCATCGTCCCCAGCAAAGCCGGCCTTACAGAGCCCAGAGCCATTGTCACACACCAGGGCAGTGCTGTCCTCTTCTTCACACATCTCGGCTGGAGCTACTTCACAGGGTCCTGCAGGAAACAGGCAGGAAGCTGCCCCAGCTGTAATCCAGCAGTCATGGCACTTCCCCGAGCACTCCCACCTTCCAGGCTGGGTTTGGGTCCCCTCCTCTGTATTCCTAGAGTGCTCTCCACTGACATTTATCTAACACAGCATTTATCTCAAAGTACTTTAATTAGACTGTAAGCTTCTTATAAGCCAAAACTCTGAATTCCAGGCTCATATAACTGGCTTCTACCACCGTGGCTGACACCTCACATGTGCTCATAAACACTTTAAAGATTGACTAAGGCAAGTGAATGAATGAACAGCTGTAGAGCGAAGATAGGAATATCAGACTGTGAGACCAGATCTTCACAAGGACAAGTCACTTGTCAAATGTTAAAGAAGCTTCTGGAATTTGCTGTCTGTGTCAACCCAAAGTCACATTTTTCTAGATGTGCTATAACTTTTTAAAATTTTTTCAAAAAGGTAGATTTTGAAGAATAGGCAGCACGTGAAAATTTGGAACTGTTGAGATGTTTAAAGCATTTTAAAAAAAAAAGCTCTTTTAGATGCTAAGGACTTTTATTTTACCCTTGGAAAAACATTAGAACCAATCAAAACTTTCTAAGTGCTTTAAATTTTAGGGGCTACAGTTATTCTCTATTGATAAAAATTACTGCTAAACTAAAAGTCCAACAAGCCAGGGTGAGTCCAATAAATAACACACCATGCAGTAGAATACTTTGCTGCCATTAAGAAAGATAAATAAAAGGTATATTCTTGTTTAAGAGTAATAGGCTAGAGAAAGTAACATTTTATGATCCTGTTAAAAATGTATTTTTATGCATTGCAAAAAGATTGATCATATTTACCAAGTTGTAGATGGGGGTTATTTTGAAGTGGTGGGTTTTGTAGGTGTTTTTAATTATCTTCCCTGGGTTCTGTAATATTTTCTAAATTGAGCATGTATTCTTTTAGTAATAAAACAATATTTTAAATATCTCACTCTTAAGCATGGATCCTATGACAAAATTTGAAAGGCTGGAGCAAAAGTAACAACTTACAGGTTTGGGAAACTGAAGCCCTAATAGACGACATTTTCGTTCATTTTTACAAATGAGAAAACCCACGGGAAATGATTTGCTCAAGGCATACATGTTAGAGGCAGAGTAGAACCAGAGAACAGGTACTCTTGCCTACCCCTTGGCTTTCAATCCAGATTCCCTTCCATTTTTCCAAACAGAATTAGGTGGAAATAAATATCCTGTAAAGAGAAGGACACCCAGAGTTCTCTGCCTGGCTTTAGATCTTAGGCTTTCAAGTCGAGGAAGATTCTTCTAAGTTCGTGAATTCCTTGTACACCCAGACCTACATATAAAAGGCAACTGTTTTAAGGAAACTTCTGGGAAGTAAGCAAAGAAAAAGAAGCTATTATAATTGGAGTTCTGCCAGACCATTCCCACGAAATCAATGCTGCATCTTTCCAAATGCCGAGAACTTCCATAGCAGTGCCTAATGTAGCATGACCTTTGGCAAAGAACGTGAACCTCAGCTGAGACGATATAGTTTAAAATCCATCTACTATTGTAGATGAGATCTCCTGTTGTCTCCAACTGACAAACAAGGAAATCAAGACTCAAGGAGTTGAAGTGGTTTGTCCAAGATCCCAACACTGGTAAAGTTAGGACACGGAGATTGCAGAGCACGATGATTATGAGTTTGGACTCGTGAGTCAAACTGCCTGAATTTGAGTCAGAGTTTCACCACTTAGAAGCTGTGTGACTCAGTGAGTTATTTAACATCTCTAAATCACAGTTTCCTTATTTATAAAAAAAAAAAAAAAAAGCAATAATATTGGTACATACCACATAGAGTTCTTATGGGGATTAAGTTTTTTAAAAAAGCATTCAAAATAATTTATAGTGGTGTTTACATTATGAGTTACAATAAATATTAGTTTTAAAATTATTATTACTAAAATCATTATGTGATTATTATCATTATCCAGATCTTTTTATTTCCAGTCTTTGCTTTCTTTCCACAGTGCTTCCAGGCTTAGCATGGAAATCCTCAACTTGTAGATTCCACTTGTAGGAATGGAAAATGGAACTTATAAACGCTTGCTCTTTTCTTTCCCACCCATCTCTTCCCTTTCCAGACACTGAATTCTATTTGGCATTCATGTGATTTGGCTTCCTTCCTAGCAGATTTAGAAGCTAGAAGAGAGGTGAGAAATGGAAGGGAGACAAGACAGAAGAAGCAGTACGGGGTCTGAGGCGCGTGTCAGAGGCGGGCAGCACCAGCTTCAGCAGGCTTCCTGTGGACGCACTAAGCAGATTGTCCAAACCAAAAGCAAGGGCAGAAAACAGGACAAAATATTTGGAATTAGAACGTCCTGAAAATGTGAGGGTATGGCCATCGTGAATACACATGTCCTTAATCACCATATTGTTGGGCAGGATGGGTTTGGGGGAGTGTTTGAGTATACTGCAGAAAAGTAGGCTGACCCTCAGCATCAGCACGCGTGCGGAAAAAAATCTCAAAATTCAGTGAACGTATTTTTATTTGGCAAAAAATGTCCAGGAGGAATTTTATAATCTTTAAAAACAAGCACTGTCATTACAGAAGAAATCTCTGTGTCCTTGGAAAGGAGCTGGCTCTGTCGTTTACAACCCTCAACCGAACCTGAATGAGCAGCTGGGTTTGGAGCAAGGCATTTCCTAATTAGGTAAAACACACTCGAACGTCTGCTTTTGGAACTGCACCCGGGTCAGGGGGTTTGCTCCAACCACTCGAGTGCATCTTGTGCCAAAAATGAGTAGTTAGCGGGAGGGGACGGGGGAGTTGGAGGGGGGAGAGAACATTTCAGTTCCCAGCTCGTCGGTCTTGAAACGCAAACCATATTTAGTCATGAATCACAAATGGAAGGAGAATCTCAGTGTGAAAACTCCAGTCTGGGTTGAAGCTGCCAAGCCCTGATTTACAGCGAAAATCAGTGTGGGGTGGCAGGGCTGGCTCCACAGTTCTGCCTGCTTCACCAAGCTGAGAGAAATGCAAACCAGACGTCGCACAGGCTGACACAAACAGCTGTCAGATGCACACTCTGCTCCCTCCCTCTTATTCACAAAGATTCAGTGGGTTTCCTGCTGCGCTCTGCTGCAAATGATCAACCACCTACTGACTGAGATGCACATCCTAAAGCATAAGCTCACAGAAGACACCACCAATTAGAGCCAGAGGAACCCAGATGCAAATACACAAATAGCCAGTATCAAAGACTAGGCAACTAGCCTCTGGTTGCTTCTAAAATCCACTTCCAGATACCTTAGCTGCACCAAAAATACAGTTCAATTTAAAACCCCCACATCAAATCAGAACCACAAACACATACCGAAGTTTTCAGTGCCTAAATATACGTAAATGTATAACTTACTACAAACAGCCAGGCTGCGTCCTTGAAATGTGCTGCAAGATCTGGGCTGTTGGTTTAATCTAAACAGATTTTACAGGTGACAGACATAGATTTCATTTCATCTTCCTCTCCCCTCCTCCCCCCCACCAAGATGCATCTTAGCCTTGATTTTAATATTAAATAATTAGAGCTAAAAGGTACAATCATAGTAGTATAACCTTCATTCAAAAATTTCAGAGTGCAAGAGCCCAGCCAAATCTCTGTAGGCGATGCTGGATTACACTGGGTAATATCAGAGCCGCTGGATCTGTAAATCAAATCCCTGGGCCTGTGCCACTTACCCTGACAATGCTCGGCTGGGCTTCTCCGCTCTGGACGGTGTTCAGGGAAGCTGACCGCTGAAGGGTTATATAGCCCCTTGGCCTGCTCCCCTCCCACTTGCTTCCCAAACAAGGAACAAAGACTGACTTGAGCCCGGCGTTCAGTCTAACACAACCATATAGGGACCTCAGCACAAAACTCTCTAATCTGGGTGGCCGGAGGCCTGGGTCTCTTCCACTGCATTCCACTGCTCTGGTCATGAAACGGGAGGCAGCTCAGCTGCCTTCGGAGATAAACACCCCAAGCCTTCAGAACAACTGCTGAAATGGCCAGAGATTCTGAGCTAGTGTAATGCGGCAGATGCAGGCACAGTTTGCACATTTCTCAGAAGATGCCAGCCTGCTGTCATGCTGGCATCTCAGGGCATTTCATAATGAACTGAGTGCAGAAAGGAGCAGCCTCTGAAGAGTAGGAACTTTTAAAAATTCTCCTACAAAGGTGGCCTGCAATGAAGAAAGATATTGCTTCAATTGTCCATAAATACATAGAGGGAGTAATGATTTTACATAGGCATGTTGTGTTTATAAATCGAGTCCGTGTGTGGTGTTAATGGAAATAGGAATTGCAGTGGAGACAGGGTTGACGGGCCCCAGTTCCACAGAGGAATTTGGAAGTCAGCATTACCATAACCACTTTAATCCTTTGGTACATTAGATATGTCTACTAATTTGTCCCTGAGCAATTTAGTAGCACGATTAGGGGCCATCCTTTGAGCAGAGAGTCCACAGGACGTGGTGTCACAGAAGCAGTTTGAGAGAAAAGGGCATGTTCAAGGGAAGTCCCTCTGGTCCTCCTCTCTCCCTGCTGACCCATTTGACAGGTGATAGAGAGACAAGGTGACCCAGGCATTTCTCAAAGACAGGTAGTGAATGAACGCAAATCTGGCCTTAAGCTCTCATTTCCAAGTGTCAATGGATAGCTTCAATGGTTCTACATTTATCTGCTCCCCTCCTCCAAGCCAAGGTTCTAACCGAATTCATGATAGAAATATTTTTGATGGATACCATGAGTATTTTTGGACTGACATGTGAGAAAAATCCAAGAATGAATGGCTTTATTTTACAGCTGTGGCCAGCTATTCACTCACTTTACTGTATCTGATCTGTTTAATGTATGGTATGCACACACTCATACACATATATTTATCTTTGAGAAATTGCACTGTTGATTATTAGAAAATTTTAAATAGCTTAAGACTAAATGATAATAGATTTCTCTGTATTTCCAGGAATTTGTCAACTGTGTCTAGTTTTTGTCAACCAGAAAATAGGATTTTCTGAATGTTCAAATATGAAGACTACACAATACGGCATAAAAGTTGGGCATTTGGGATTAATTCAATGATTTTCATTGCAGGGATCATATGAAGCAAAAATTTTGTATTTTCTTGATTAGGAGGGCAATTTGAGTACAGGTAGGATCCGTCCTCCTCCCACTTTTGTCTCAAGCAGTGTCTGTGTCATCCTTGGTGACTTTATGAAGTGAATATTCCTTTAAACACCAAAAAGAAGAGTTTTGGTATTCGCCTTTATGATTCTTAGGTCACTTTCTTCCTTGATTATAGTAGTGTACATCGCAGCCCTGACAGTAATCAGACTTTGATGACATAGACACACAAGGAGATGAATCAAGGTTTAGGGTTTTCTTACAATTTTTTTTTTCTCCTTCCTTCTTTCCTGCCTTCCTTCCTTCCTTCCTTCCTTCCTTCCTTCCTCCCTCCCTCCCTCCCTCCCTTCCTTTCTCCCTTCCTCCCTTCCTCCCTTTCCTCCCTCCTTCTTTCCTTCCTTCCTTCTCTCCTTTCTTCTTCCTTCCTTCCTTTCTTCCTTCCTTCGTTCCTTCCTTCCTTCCTTTCTTGCTTTCATCTATGACACTAACCAGAGAGAACCTGGAACTGAAAACAAACTTCTGAATAAGTGATTAAATGAGCTCATTGTCTGAGTTTGAGATTTATACTCTCATAGCCCATCCAAGTCTCTTCAGTGAGAGAAAGCAGCACTGGATGTGTGTGTACAAAGAATCTCCAGTTGAGTGGCCAGATATCTTCCGGGGCTCTCAGCCATGTATCCAAGGAGTTATGGAGCAATTAGAAAAACAACAGTGTCTGATGACTTGGTTGCAGTTCAGGAAAACTATAAAACAAATTCCAAACTCTAAGCACATATTCAAGAATCATCTCCAGACCTGTTGTTCTACAAACGTCGCACACCATCTTGGTAACATTACCCAGTGATGATTTATTATAAATTCCTTGAGATCTGGGACAATTTTAACCCTCTTTGGGCCCAGTCCAGAGCTGAGTAAGCAGTGGGTGCTCAATAATTGCCTAACAATTTCTTGATTATTCTTTATCCCCGGTGCCTTGTAGATAAAAATTAGGCCATGTCAATACTAGCAAACATTCATATAATACGAATTTCTGGTAAGGAAAATGATTTTCTTCTGCTATTGAAAATTTGGGCAGTAGGAATTGTTTTCTCTAGACTGATCACACTCATGAGCTATTTTGTTCAGCTCATAAAATTCATTTTGTCTGAGAAGACACAACGAGAGCAAGGCATCCTTTCCATCTCCCATTCCTGGAATTCTCCAGGTTCTGGAATTCTCAGAACCAAAGGCTGAGTTTTTCCAAGACAACCTAAGCAGACAAACTCATCAAGCCCACAGTGGCACAATGACCACTCTAATCACATCTGGAGGGATTTGCCAGGCTCTGTTCTGTTCTTCACTTGAACATAATCAGGACTCTTTATGGCAAATTTGACTTGACATCACCTATGGGGATGTAAGAGCTGGTATTTTGGGGACAGGCGAATACTCAGTAGATGGTGTTTATTTTCATAGTGTTTTCATTTACTTCAAAATTTGAGAAGCTCAAAGGAATCTCCCATAAGAGAAGACCCTTGGCAGACTAAATGTGAGAGAAATAACATATGACATAAGGAAGGGATGCAATGACAATCAGGCCTAGACCTTGTCTTTGTATAAAGGCAAAAATTTTTCGAGCAATAAACAAGGATTTTGATTCAGAGTTCAAGTTCTAGGTCCACCACTTACTAGCTCTGTGCCCTCTCACTGCCTTAGCTTTCTTGGATGAAAAATAGAGTTAATAGTCATACCTTATCACAAGATGGTAATGAGATGTGAAGAGTTAACAAATGAGAAGCATCTAGAACACTGCTTAGCCCATGGAGAGCACTATGTAATTATTAGCTATTATTATCACCGAGTGTTCTGTAAGAGGAAGTTAGAGCTAGAGGTGAGAAAGATAGTTTCTCAGATAACAAAAGTGCAGAGGTAAACTCTTAACCAGAAGAATGTGACAACTTGTGTTAGTTTCCTGTTGCTGCTTTAACAAATTAGTGATTTCAACCAACCAACTTACTGGTTTCAAACAACAAAAATTTATTATATTACAGTTCTTGAAGTATGTTTCACTGGGCTAAAATCCAGGTTGCTGTCCTTCTTTTGGAAGCTCTGAGGGAGAATCTGTTTCCTTGCCTTTTCTGGTTTCTAGAGGCCACCTGCATTCCCTGGCTTATGGTCCCATTTTCGTCTTCATAGCCAGCAGTGTGGCATCTTCATATCTCTCTTTTTCACTCTGACCATTCTGCCTCCTTCTTGGAACGACCCTGTGATTACATTGGGCACTGCTGAATAATCCAGGATAATCTCTCCGTTTTAAGATCATTAACTTAATCACATCTGCAAAGTTCCCTTTTTTCTTTCGTGTCAGGTAATATATTCACGGGTTTTGGGGATTAGGATAGGGACATGTTGGGGAGGACGTTATTCTGCATACCACATATGTCCATCCCATCACACACACAAATGTATTTCCTATTGCATGTCAAGGCATTTGTAACAGTTTCTCAGTTTAAAAATGATATCTACACTCTGGCACCAGTGGTGTTGACATTAGATAAACTTACAAACCTTTAATAGACACTTAAGAGATTGTGCACAAGTCATATCTTAGGAAAGGGATCAGAAAACTGTAAAGCTGTCTGTCCATAATCCCACAAAAGCAGAAAGCAGAATAAGCTTGTTCTCTCATTTAAGCTTTTCAAGGCATCTAGAATATCTAATGTATTTCAAGATTAAAAGGGCACCTTCAAGTGCTTTATTTTATTTTATTTGTAAAAGAATAAAATGCATGTTGGATTGCACAATAGCACCCTGTTAGATTTTCGAGGCAGAACAATTTTTAACATTCTCATTGTTAGCAAAAGCTAACTTGGGAAATCAGGTTTAACCATGAAGAACAGAGAGCTGAAAGATGAACTAATTTCCTTCAGGAGAAGGACAGTATCTATTGTCCTTTTATCAACAGCACTTATTTTTTGCCTGTTTCTTCTGCCTTAACCCACCCACTCAGAAGTATCCAACGTTGCCCCAATAGTACTGAACAATGGACTTTTCCACTAACAAATCAGACTAGCTCACAGCTCAGGACCTTAGCTCATGGCGTTCCTCTACCTGAAACAATCTTTCCCTGTTCACACCTCTAACTTCACCCCTCACTCCAGTTCTTCTTCTGGCATGCTCTACTCATCCTCCTCAACACAGGTAGGTGTCACTCTCGCCCACCTCCGCTCTCCATTCTCTGTTTTCCCACACCACACTATGCTCAGCTCTCTCACAGGACTCACAACATTGTTCCATAATAATACACCTAACTTCCAGCTAGACTATAACATGTCTGAGGGCAAAGACTAAATTGATTTCATCTTTGCATTCCTAGAGCCTAGAACATTCAGTAAATTTTTCCTGAACTGAACTGAATCAAGCACAGAAAATGCTTAACAAATGGTTTTTGAACAATAAACGTCAACGGTATTGTGAAGAGAGGGTAAATAATAATAGCAATATCACTAATTATTATTTATCAGATAGTACTTTGAGCTATTTTCTCTATATACACGAGCTTAGTTAATCTTCACAGCAGCCATAAGGTATACTATTATTCCCTTTTATAAGGGAGGAAATGGAGGCTCAGATAAGCTAAATATCTTGCAAAAGTCTTCATGGCTAGTAAGTGGTGGAGCAGGGATTCAGACCCAGACATGTCTGAGTTTGACCAGAGATTGGGTTCAAGCACATACACAGTGGTGTAGGTAGGGGCCTGAGTGTCAGGATCTGCCAAGGTAGCAGGGAGCAAGAGGTTAAACCATCATGCAAAGGCAGGCGACTTCACTATTCAACATCCCTGCCTCATGATATCCTGGGCACACAGGACAATTTG